TCCATCTTATTTTGTGACTGAATTACTATGAATTATGTATTTATTTTATGTCATGTCTACCTTAATCTCAATTTTTGGTATTTTAATAATATTTTTGTTACCATAAATTAAGTAAGGATTTATATAAGACAAACTCTTATCAATAAAGAACTTTACACTTAAAAGAGAGTACTTGGATTTCACTCCCAGAACAAAAACCAAGTATATACGTCATTGTAAAGAAAACAATAATAAATCCTAACAAGTAGAAATTGTACAGATTATAGTCTCTCATTGTAATTCAATAAAAGTAGAAATTCAGCCATTAAAAGATTGCCATAAATAACCTGACCATATGGACATTTTAAAACACTTCTAAAGTGAAGATAAATTACATAGTATTTAAAGATGAGCAAAAATGAGAAAAGTTTATCTATGAATATATAGTTAGCATTTTATTATTAATTAAAATTGAAAAGAGCTAAATTTTAACTCAAAAAAAAAGCCCAAAAACAACAAGAAATTAGGAGGAGAGAATTTTAAAAGATAAAAATATAAATCAACAAATTATAAAATAAAACAATGATCCTTCCAAAATGGAAATAAAATTGTATCAGTTTTTTAAAATAAATAATATGGCTAAACTTCTGATAAACCTGACAGATATAAAGAGAAAACAAAAATTTACAACTTTAAGAAAGAGAAAATCAGTAAACCAAGGAAACAGATGAAATTAAAATAATTATAAGAAATACTATGTTCAAATTTAAGTCAATACATTTTTAAATCTAGATTAAGGATGTTCGTAGGAAAATCCTTTTTCATTACCAAAACTGGCTTCTAAAGAGGTTGAAAGCTGAGCAGACTAATTACCAAGAAGAAATTCAAAAGACCATTAAGACACACTGCTAACAAAGATCCAGACAGCTCTATGAGCGAGATTGACCCTCGAAGAACTGGTTATTATTCTGTTATTTGTACTATTCCAGAATATAGTAAAAATTGGAAGCTTGAATATCCCTGGTAACAAAACATGAAAAATTAACACACAAAAAAACTACAGATCAGCCTCATTTATGAATATAAGTCAATATGCTAAGTAGATATTAGCAAATAGAATTTCAGAGTGTCTTAAAAGAATAATACATAATCAGAAATGATTTATTCCGAGAAGTCAAGGATGCTACTATATTGGGAAATCTGTTAATGTAACTAATATGTCTTTAATAAAATAAAGGCAAATGATCATATAGTCATTATTAATAGACATTCTAAAAAGCATTTGATAAAAATTCATTCTACATTTTGAGTGGTAACTAAATTTTAAAAGGAATAGAGGGAATTTCCCCAACATATCAATATTGTTAGTATGATTTTGACTGTCTATATATTTATTTATCATAATAGGTATAACTGACTAAAGTATTGAAAATGAAGACAGCCTTACTAAAGTTTTTTAGGATGGATAATCAATCAGAAACCAGTTTCTTGCTGAGCACATTGGCTCACACCTATAATCCCAGCATTCTAGGAGGCCGAGGTGGGCAGATCACCTGAGGTCAGGAGTTTGTGACCAGCCTGGCCAACATGGTGAAACCCTATCTCTACAAAAAATACAAAAATATTAGCCAAGTGTGGTGGCATGTGCCTGTAGTCCTAGCTACCTGGGAGGCTGAGACACGAGACTCGCTTAAGCCTGCGAGGCGGAGGTTGCAGTGAGCCAAGATCGCACCATTGCATTCCCATCTCGGCAACAGAGCAAGACCCTGTCTGAAAAGAAAAATGAAAGAAAGAATATTTTCCTTAGAACAGCTTAAAATAAGGCTGTATTCAGATTCAACTTTTCTTCCTATGTATTTCTTCCAAAATAAAGATTCAACTTTATTTTGAATTGAGATAGAAAGATAAGTGTGTGCCCTCATGATACCTGTGTATTTCTGTCAGCCACTCAAGTGGAACCTTATGGGCAGTTTGCACCTGCAGTTTTGTTTACAGTGTGTCAGGGAAGCAAAGAAGTGTTCCTCCAGCTAGAAATATTAATAATGCAGAAACAAGTCGTGTAACTAAAACTAGACCCCAGTATTGGACACTCGTTTCTTAGCGAAAACAATACCTTCTCTTTTGGGAATGACTGGTCTTTGAATTTTGCCCAGTTATCTTTCTAGCAATGACTGCCTTAAAAGGATTAGTTTAATAGGTGTTAAACCCTTATTGTTGTGTTTACAGTACTGTGATAGGCATTTACAGATATAAACATAGATTAAGGCAGGGCCATGTCCTCAGGAACAAACCATATTATGAGCTATGTTACAAGGTATGATTTTCAGATAGCAGCAAGTTCAGGGTGGTGCTGGCATCTAAGCTAGGCCTTGTAGGATAGGTGAAATTTACACATGTGGAGAGGAGAAAAAAGAGTTGCCCAGGCTAGGAAAATGATATAAACAAAAGCATGGAGACAAGAGCGGTTGAATATGCTTGTGTAATCTAGTGGTGTTCAAACATAGCCAAAGGTGAGGGTTACTTGAAGAACTTAAAAAAAAAAATAAGAAAGGACTAGGCACGGTGGCTAATGCCTGTAATTTTAGAACTTTGGGAGGCTGAGGCAGGTGGATTGCCTGAGCTCAGGAGTTCAAGACCAGCCTGGGCAACATGGTGAAACTCCGTCTCGACTAAAATACAAAAAAAAAATTAGCTGGGTGTAGCATCGTGCGCCTGTAGTCCCAGCTACTCAGGAGGCTGAGGCAGGAGAATTGCTTGAACCTAGGAGGCGGAGGTTGCAATGAACCAAGATCGTGCCACTGCACTCCAGCCTGGGCAACAGAGCAAGACTCCATCTCAAAAAGAAAAAATAAAAAGAAGATGAAGAAGGAAGGAAGGAAAGAGGAAAACTCCAACCCAAAAGTTCAGCCCACAGAAAGTCTAATTCAGTGGCACAAGATAAGACCTATACACCTAAGTTTTTCTAAAACCCCATGGGGATTTTGATGAACAGGCAGGGTTAAGAACCAGTGGTGCAGTATAGATGTGACTAGGATATAAAGGCTATGGAAGTTCTGTGGGAGGTGATGCATTGATGTACTGTGGGAGGTGGCATTGATAGAAAGATATGTTGGGGCCAAATGATAACTTGAGTAACGTTGTTTCGGTATTGTCAGTTTTGTGTTTTGTTTTTTATTTCTATTATATCACAGCCATCCCTCCATTAGATATCAACCAGTATTACTTAAACAAAACTTGACCCATATGTGAATTCAAAGCAAAATATGTTAGATGAGATATAGAGGGGGAACCTCTCAAGAATATTTTTCCAATTTGATGTTGCCATATAATCACCTAAAGATTTAGAGGGGTCGTTTTATTATCACTCATAATCTTGTCAGTTGACCGGACTCAGCTGACAGTTCTGCTCTGTGTGACATTGTCTGGGACTGCAGTTATATAGGTCAGTTGGCTTAAATGTCCAAGATGGCTCAGTCACAGGTCAGCTGAGAGCTCAACTGGGACTGTCAACCAGGGCATCTCCATGGGCTTCTCACAGCATGACAGCTGGGTTCCAAGAGGTAGCATCTCAAGAGAAAAGGCCTAGGCTCAGGCTTCTTATGACCTAACGTTGGTAGTCTCAGACATTACTTCCACTATATTCTGTAGGTCAAGTAAGTCACTAAGGCCAACTCAGATTCAATGGAAGATGAATAAACTCCATCCCTTTATACGAGGAGCAGTGTGTGCAAATAAGAAAAGAAGGAAATTGATGGCAGCCACCATTTATTGAGACTTGCTACTGCAGTCTTAGCATACCAAGTAATATAGCATCAAAATATATAAAGCAGAATTTCAGAGAATTTAGATAGACATCCATAATAATACAACTAGACAAAACAATAAAGATAAAAGGGATCTGAATAATATAAAATTCTGATGTAATAGATTTATATTCTGAATTTTTTATCTGACAATTAAGAATACACCTTCCAGGTCCATAGACTATCTGCCCCTTACCCCACAAAAGGAATCACTTGAACCCCCTCTATATACTCAAATCTGCAGCTTTAACATGATATGCTTTCTTCAGCCCTCAGCCTGGCAAGAAAAGTTACAGTTGTGTTTGTTTCATCTATTACTATATGCTGCTCTGTTTTAAATTTCTTGTCTTTTTGGAATCTCTTCCTCTGCCTGGTTTTTTCACACATGATATGAACAATTGGGTTACACATTCTCTCTTAAGTTCTTCCCCGTTTTTTACTTGTTTTCTGAAAAGAGCAGCATGGAGAGGGGTTTTACTTTGATTCCCCAAGCTGTCATGGTAAGAGCAGTTTTGACATGTCCTGGGTGTTCTGTAGACTTCAAGGTCACCATCCAGCAGCCCTGGCACCACCATCTTCGTGTGTGTGTGTGTGTGTGTGTGTGTGTGTGTGTACAGCTTGTGGGGTACAAGTGGTTTTGAGTTACATGGCTGAATTGTATAGTGATGAAGTCTGAGATTTTAGTGCCCCCATCACCCAAGTAGTGTACATTTTACCCAGTATGTAGTTTCTTCTCCTTCACCCCTTTCTCTACCCTCCCCGTTTCTGAGTCTCCAAAGTCCAAAATCCATTACACCACTCTGTATGCCATCATCTTCCAATTTGCCAATAATGCTGACCTGGGGATTGAGCTGTAATTGCTGCCATCACCTTTTTTCCATGCATTATTTTTTAAAGGCCCCTTAAGGGGAAAAAAAAAAAAAGTTTCTAAGTTTAAAAAAAAATTTTTTTGATCTTTGCTTTCTGAAACTCATGTTATTATGCCATCCTAGTTAGACATAGAGTCGGAGGTTGGGAACCCAGTTGGTGAGGATGGTATAATTTCCTGGCCCGTCAGTGATGAGTCCTATTTGCTTATTGCTTCTATCACAGCGTCCTTATATGATTTATAGCAATTCTTTCTGAACTACATCTTGTCATTAAACCACCAGGTTTATTGAGGAGTCTAAGCCCACAACCACCTTCGTCAGTAACACTCGGATCCGCTTGCCATTGCAGGTCGTCACGCTGTGGTACAGAGCTCCCGAAGTCTTGCTCCAGTCCAGCTACGCCACCCCCGTGGATCTTTGGAGTGTTGGCTGCATATTTGCAGAAATGTTTCGTAGAAAGTAAGAAATACATTTTGTTTCACTCTGCTTTCCTTGAAAAGAGACTGTGGATCTTTGTGAATTTAAATGGCAGCATGGCATTTCTGTCATTAGGGGTCATGATGGCCAGATCCATCTGCCGCAGGCTACCACTTGCAAGCCTATCCTGAAAGTTTGTCTTCTCAGTGCTTACAGTGTTGTTTTATATGACTGTAGCTTGCAGCTTCTGGAAACTCTGCCTGGGAGGAAACACCCCACTGTTCTTATAATTTACATTGTTTTATTGGTGATGATAGGACATGGTGAAAATAACACATATTTTGGCATTTTTTTAGTGAAGAAATATCCTCAAGGTGGACTTTATCCATAGGAGGAGAACCAAGACTGTTAAGTATATGAAAACTTTTTTAATGAAATTTTGATGGTGAGAATAGTTGAAAAAAACAATATTTAGGCTGAAAAAGAATAAGCAATGGGGATGTCAGTGCAACTTCAGGGCACTTTAAATGCTGCCATGTACAGGAGAGATTAGACATATTCAGGCACTATAGAGGACAGAAACAAGACTAAGGATACAGAAATTACAAACAAAGATTTTTGTTAAAAGGGGTAAAAATCTAATGATTAGACAGTTATCTGAAGAGTGGATTGGGGTTTGTGAAAATAGTGAGTTCTCATTGTGTGTCTAAGAAGAGGCTGGACCTCCACACATTGGTGATGTTTCAGCAGCATTTATAGAGTTGGTGCATAGGCTACATGCCCTCCAAGTTCCCTCTGAGAGAGTATGTGATTCGATTGTTTGATTTTCAGGTCACAAGAAATAGCCAAACAATATAATAAATATCTGCCAGGAAAATAATCCATACCTGGGAACTAAGTTCAGCCTAGTCTAAATTAAACAGAGAACCTAATCATAATCCAATCTCTTTTTCTTTTCTATTTTTATTTCCGTGGGGAAAAGTGAGTTAGGTGAGTTAGGAAACAGTATATTCCCATTGTATCTTTAAAATGTAGCTCCATGGTAGCTCACAAGGAAAAGAACTGGTCAACCATTGCTTGCTTGTTGTTTGGTTGGTTTTAACCAAACAAAGTTTTGTGCATGTAACAGATTTTTGGAACTATTGCTGGTACTCAGCAAGTTCATCTGTGGCTCATAAGATGGGAGATCATGGCAAGGAGATCAGAGTAAACAGATGTTTAATGCAGCCGTACCATGTGCCAAGTATAGCGTCAAACCTCTTCCTTTATGCTACCTTTCTTAATCCTACCAATAAGAGCAAACTGAGATGGAGTGGTACATTTATTTGTCTAACATTAGGCAGCTAAGAAGTAGCAAGGATATGAGTCCAAAGGAAGTCTTGCAAGTTCTGTTCCAGCGTTGCTTTTTTCCAAAGGAGAGGAGGGAAAAAGTAATATTGAATTCAGCTGAAGTGTTTGCCAAACAGGCTCAATTAGTGATTTTGAAAGTGTGGTCCCTGCACCGGGAACCTCAGTATCACCAGGCACCTTGCTGGAAATGCAAATTCTCAGGCCCCACCCCAGAGCTATTGGTTCAGTAGTTCTTGGGCTGGGATCCAGCAACCTGCATTTTAACAAGTTCTCCGATCCTAGTACAACCTCCAGGATAAGAACCCCTGGGTTGGATGACAGTATCACCAGGGATGGGCAGTCTTTAAAAGTCTGGCTCCCAGGCCTCTCCCTTGAGATTCTGATTCATTACTGGGCTGGGGCCAGGAATTCTTATTTTTAAAAGTACCTTCAGCAATTATTTTCATCCAACAAGTGTGGAAGACATCGGGTTAAAGGCTTATGGTTAGAACCAAGAATAATTTACTGTCAATAGAGCAGAGTAGGGGTTTAGACAGTCATTCTCCTTCATCCCAGGAATAACTCGGTACTGCCAAGAGTTGATTAGAGAAATGCTTATTGAAATTATCTTTATGTGTCTAGTATAGTCTCAACCGTAAAGACAGAGTCCTTCAACAATTACAGACTTGGATACTAGTCATGATTGATGATAAAAGTCAATTTTTTTAAGACGTTAAAAGAAAGATAAAACTTGAGATATGTAGAATTAAGTATTCACTACTAAGGAATTTGCTGTATGTTTAAGTATAGGCAATCTCCATTTGTGAAACAAATTTTATTTTAAAGCGTTAAAAGCATTTTCCACTGAAGTGATAAGTGGTCATTGGATTCCAAGCCTAGTTTGCAGAATCCTCTACGACCTGGAACATACACAAAACACCCATTGTGCTAATTCATCAAAATTTTTTCTTCTATGGGAAAATTCATTCTATGTTCCAATCCAAGACTAGAGGGATACTTATCTCTCCATCTCAGCATTGGGACTGAGAAGTGGGACTCAAATATTGGAGGCTCAGGAGAGGGCTCCTTTAATGATAGCGGCAACAGTCTGCTTCAGTTTGCTGGAAAAGTGAGACATTGGGTAGAGATCCTTTGGCACTTCAGATGTGCACATAAGAAAGTACCCTTTCTCCAGAAGCCTTGCACAAAAATAGTAAGTTGAGAAATAATTGCTTGAAGCAGGAAGCAGTATCAGAAACCAGGTCCTTATGCCTTTAAGGCTGAAAGGAGAGTGAATCCAGGCCAATCACACCATCCCTCCTAGGGTGGGTACCCTGTGTCCTTGGTATTTCCTATGATACCCCCCAGATATCCATGTGTCATGCTTCTTACTTATGCCAGATGAGTTCTGGGGTCCATCACCAGCTTGACCTGGTTCTGACTTGACTCCTGATTCAGTATTGACCCAGTTGAGACTTCTCAAGCCATGGGCTCTTAAAGCAGACTCATTCATTGCTTTAGGCTAATCCTAAATCAGGGAATCCTAGCATTTTTAATTTTTTGTAGAGATAGGAGTCTCACTATGCTGCCTTGGTTGGTCTTGAGCTTCTAAACTCTGGGTACCCACTTGATGCAAAGGCAGTAATTACCAAATTTTGTCCTTTCTTTATCACCTTGTTTTTGCCATATTCTTATGAGACTGGTACTATTATTTACTTAGTTTTTTTTTTACTACTCTCTTATCAGTTTACCTTTTTATTTAGCCTCATCCTAAACAAAAGTACAGTCATGTGTTGCTTAACGACAGGGTGATGTTCTGAGAAATTGATTGTTAGGCAGTTTTGTCATTTTGCGAACATTGTAGGGTGTACTTACACAAACCTAGATGATATAGCCTACTACACACCTAGGTTATATGGTATAGCTTATTGCTCTTAGGCTGCCAATCTGTATGACATATTATTGTACGGACTGCCGTAGGCAATTGTAACACAATGGTAAGTATTTGTGTATCTAAACATAGAAAAGATACAGCAGAAATATGGTATAAAAGATAAAAAATTATATACCTATATAGAATGCTTATCATGAATAAGGCTTGCAGGACTGGAAGTTGCTCTGGGTGAGTGGTGAGTGAGTTGAAGGCCTAGGACGTTACTGTACACTACTGTAGACTTTATAAACACTGTACACTTAGGCTACACTAAATTTATCTAAAAATATTTTTCTTTCTTCAATAATAACTTAACCTTCGCTTACTGTAACATTTTTACTTTATAAACTTTTTAAATTTTTTGGCCGGGTGCAGTAGCTCACGCCTGTAATCCCAGCACTTTGGGAGGCTGAAGCAGATGGATTGCGTGAGCTCAGGAGTTCGAGACCAGCCTGAGTAACATGGCGAAACCCTGTCTTTACAAAAAAGACAAAAATTAACTGGACATGGTGGTGCGTGCCTGTAGTTCCAGTTACTTGGAAGACTGAGTTGGGAGGATCGCTTGAGCCCGAAAGAAGCAGAGGTTGCAGTGAGCCAAAATCACACCACTGCACTCCAGCCTGGGCAACAGAAGGAGACCCTGTCTCAAAAAAAAAAAAAAAACCAAAAATTAAATTTTTTAACTTTTTGATTCTTTTGTAATAACACACATCTTAAAACACAAGCAAGCCAGATGCAATGGCTCACTGTAACCCAACCCTTTGGGAAACCAAGGCAGGAGGATCACTTGAGTTTAGAAGTTCAAGACCAACCAGGGCAGCATAGTGAGACCCCCATCTCTACAAAATAAATATATAATTAGCTGAGCATGGTAGCATACATCTGTAGTACTAGCTACTCAGGAGGCTGAGGTGGGAGGACCACTGGAGCCCAGGAGTTCAAGATTACAGTGAGCTAGGATCATGCCACTACACCCTAGCCTAGATAACCCTGTGTCTAAAAAAATAAATAAACAAAAAATAAAGAAACACAAACACATTATACATCTATACAAAATATTTTCTTTATATCATTCTATGAGCTTTTTTATTTTTAAATTTTTTGTTTTTTTACTTTTTAAACTTTTTTGTTAAAAACTGAGAAACACACAGATTAGCCCAGACCTACACGGAATCAGGATGGTCAGTATCACTATCTTGCCCCTCCACTTCTTGTCCCACTGGGAGGTCTTCAGGGGCAATAACATGCATGGAACTGTCATCCCCTATGATAACAATGCCTTCTTCTAGGATACCTCGTGAAGGGCCTGGCTGAGACTGTTGTACAGTTAACTCTCTTTTTATAAGTAGTAGTACACTCTAAAATAATGATAAAAGTATAATATAGTAAATACATAAACCAGTAACATAGTCTTGTACTAGCAAATATTATGTACTGTTTATAAGTATATGTGCTATGCTTTAATATGACTGGCAGCGCAATAGGTTTGTTTATACCAGCATCACCACAAACGTGAGGTGACTAATGCGCTGCACTACAATAACGTTAAGATGGCTATGATGTCACTAGGAGATAGGAATCATTCAGCTTCATTATAATCTTTTAGGACCACCTTCACTTATGTGGTTCATTCATTGTTGATCAAAACGTTATTATGAGGGTCATGGCTGTATAGAAAAATCAGAGATTTGACCAGTTATTTATTTGTCCGATACACATTAGAATAAATATATAACCATTAAAATTATTAAGGAAATTCATGCATGTTTATCCCCTAAAT